ATTTCTATTGGAACGAGGTTTTGTTACTTTAACTTTTTAGTTATATTCTGCATAAAATAAATATTAAATTTTATTATTTTGTTTGTTTCAGTGGGCTAAGCTAATGAACGTTGACTCTGAGCTTCAAATTTGGCAGGGCACGAGTTCGATTCCTGGTACTTGCAGTCTCAAAAAGTTATTTACGAATAATTAAATACAAGAATTATTTCCAAGACCACTAATGATGGGTATTTGGTAATACTCGAAAGAGCTGTATGGTCAGCCCAATATTCAATTAATTAAAATAATATAAAAAAGAATATTATTTTTATTACTTTGATTTTCAATAGTTACTTTTATTTAGTAGACTTTTCTAGTTTACAAGAGTTATAAAAGTTTTTTGTTATGGTTCTAAAACTTAAACCAATCAGTACGTTTACACACTAACGCAATTTAATCGATAAATATGCAGCAAATAACTTATTTTATACAAAATTAATACAAAAATATACTAATGATGTTTATAATTATTTTAAGTGTAAACATTTAAAATTAAATTTAAACATTTAAATACATAATTATATAGAGCTTAGACTGGCTTACTATCATCTCATCAATATAAGACTGACTATTGTCTGGTGGAAGAAAAAGATCAGAGTTATAATCACATCCTTTGATTACATTTGGATACTATATCTTGAAATGAAAGATTATATTGTCCTTTAAACTATCTTGAAATAAGTACTGTATTGAAGTTTATTCATACATAGAGCTTAGAGGTTAGCATACGAAGAACGCCGAAAGGCAACGACTCCCCCATTAGGTATAGATGAACCAATCCGACAGTTCTATAAACTTAATTAAATCCCTAATTTTGCAGGATGACAACTCTATCATCTGTTTTTAAGGTATTAGGAATATTTGGATCGATACTTTTTTTAATACACTTTTTTATCAGCTTATATCTCAGTCAATATTAACTGCAAATTGAACTTCCACCTCCCTCTTTCCCATACGATTTTATCATTTTTTTTATCAAGAAGTCATCTTTAACATTTATCATACTTTTCTTATAAAATACTTCGTATGTGACTATATTATTTAAGAAAATATATACTGATTGTTTTTTAAATTGTACGTCACCGATTCATTCGGTTCATTATTCATTAGCTACGTCTAGGGCTAAATATATATAAAGCATGCAAAAGCACATCAAACCTCATTTTATAAAAAAATTTTCCTTTCCCCTACTTAGTATTTATTATTCTAACTCTTCCTCTAAACTTAGTTATCTGTTAATAATTGTATCGGTTATTTCAGACTAATAGATCCAATAGAAATTAAAGTTTTTATCGTCAGCATTAAAAACCAGAATATGTATTATGATGAGAGATAACCACATTATATTATTAAAAATTTGTTTTTAAATTTTATAATAAAAAAATTTGAATTATTATTGGTTACTGAAAAAACAACTTCGGACTATGTACGAATATAAAATGTCAAAATTTTAACCACCAGCAGTTAGCATAAATTCTTGTTGGGCGCTTGGACTTCTCGCCACAAAAGCCGCAAACATGTGGTACGAACCACATTTGTTTGTTATTTTAAGGGAAAAATTGTGCACAATATTTCAAATTAATATTAATTATTTATTTTTAAGTTTTTAAAATATTTTATTATTTGTGTATGCTTCATATAATTGTGAAAAAAGGGTATATTAAATGTGTTACGCAGTTAAGCAGATGTCGAAGACCATATAAACGACATAGCATGACAAAACGGATAAGGACATGCCTATATAATATAGTTGGCAAGTACAAGACACACTAGCTTCTTAGTTTTCAAAACAATAATTAAATCAAAACTTTACATGAAGACTCTACGCTAAATTTTTACCCCTGCGGGAAAGGATTTAGATTACTCCCGAGGCAGGATATACCCGTCATAAGAGCCAACTTATATTCAGTAGACAACACCCGATACTGCATGGAGTATAAATGGTAGTGAGTGAGTGAGTAAGTTTTACTTCCGGCACCCAACTAGAGGTATAAATCTGGTACCATGGGGATCAGGACCCAAAGCTTCGGCTAACTTGACCGATAGAAGGTTGACCCTTTTAATGGGAGTATCGTGCTGACTGTGGTTAAAATTTACGCAGATAGACTGACTGTAGTCATTATTTATGGAAATTTATGGAAAGTAATGATATTAAAAAAAACTTTGGACCTTTGCCAACCTCGAAACAATTAAAGTACACAAAGTTTGTAGTGATTATCACCTACAGAAATAGTAAGACGGAAAGTTTAATATATTTTATTATTTTATTATAATATATATCAAATGCAATATTCTAATAAGAATACATATAAACTCATAATAGCAAATTGGTTAAAAGGGTTTCCATATTGCCAGTAAACAAGCAGAAATAAGTAAAAAATCTCTATAGTCTCTATAGATTTTTATAGTTTATTTCTTCTGCTTAGTTTGTTGAAAACAGTTTTAAAACAATAAACACATGTATAAAAGCAACAACTTAAGCTCTAAGTAAATAATGTACTCTAATGTGATGTAAATAGCTTATAAGAGACTTACTTTGAATTCAGGAAACAGAATAAGAAATTGATAAAAATATATATCACACACATAGAGACATGTTTTAAAAGTCATTTAGCAGGGTTCTTAATAAAAGACTAATATAATTCTTATAGGGAGACCTAGAGTCTAAAAAGTAAAGGTAATGTTTTGTTACTTATTAAATTCAGTAGGTTATAGGATGATTTATTCTTCTTTATTAAAAACAATAGATAAAATCACTCAAATTTCTCTCTCTTTATGTTCTCTCTCAAAGTATATTTTCTGTATTATAATATATATACTTTCTATTAAATGACATAACAACGCTGCTGATGTATAATTACGAATTTAGAAAAAATATTTAAAAAAATTATATGAAAAAGTATATATTTTATAGCCCCCAAAATCTTAGTACACATACGTATATTACAACCAATCAAACTCTGAGAAACTAAACATATGTATAACTACAAACTAAGCGCACATATTAAATTAGATTTATATGAAAATGAATAGATTCTGCAGAATGGCTCCCGAACCCAGTGGTACATGTATCAGGACCAACCCAAACGCATGTATAGCTATGACCTAGATAACATATTACAAAATAATTATATGAACACGAGTAGTTTTCTCGGAACGACCACCAAAATTTTAGTATATATATTAGAACCGTCCAAATCAATATCCGAAAGAGAGACTCAACAAACGACTACTTTAAGTAATAATAACAACGATCATACATAATACCATACACCCCACTCCTACTTTATATCTCTTTATTTTCCCCATTCTAATCATTGTGCAAGTTCTGTTATCCTTATACGTGCTCGCTCACTAGATCAAATAAGGATACAACAACACCAGATCTAAGTATATATATAACTTCGAACTTAATCAGAGTAGTAATTTTTAGATTTAGGACGTGTGCGTGTTAGGAGTTGCGTTCTAAATGAGGGAAATTCTAAGTTGTGACGATAATGTAGTGATGTGTCGATACGTGCTGTTAAATGGCTAAATGTGTGCAGTGTAAAAAATCCCAAAAAATCTCCCATTTGGTTTAGCATCAACTTAGCCTAACTCGCACACGTCCTTAGTAAATCTTATTTATTTAAGATATTACAAATTGCTGAAGATTTGTGTAAATAAAGGAAGGAATAAGTACTTGAGAGTATAATATATTATTCTTATATATAAACTATGATAAACAAATATGAAGTTTAGTTTGAAACAAAAATATCTGTAGTATATTATGGTTCCAAGATATACGGTAATATATGATATATAATATGTTGATTCAGCTTTCAATAGTATATTATGGTTCCAAGATATACGGTAATATATGATATATAATATGTTGATACAGCTTTCAAGCCGGATCACTCGTTGATTTTGACGATCAAGCGCCGTTCAACATTCCCAGAAGGAACTATAACAATAAATCTTTGCGGGTTACCACCACAACAACAGCAATATAGTGTATTATATTAACTAAAACTAACCATTGTGATTTTAGATACATACATTCACAAGACCAAAAGTGTATCGATTTCTAAGGGTTTTGTGGCCGGGATCTGATTACATTTTTTTTTGAATTATATTCAAAATATTATTGATAATAAAATACATTTTTTAAAAATAGTTTAAAAAAGTTGTGTATTATTTAAACAATTAACTAATTTGTCCGTTGAAAAATATATATACAAAAATATATAGAATCGTTCGTTGGACTCCAACCTGTTACTGAGTTTAGTATATTGAAAAGGATATAGTCTGGATCACTTAGATTATTTATTTATTTTTATTTGAAATAATAATTTACTTATATTGTATTTGCTTATTATTTATATTTAATTCACTCTTAATTATGAACCAAACATTTAGAGAATGAATCTATTAAAAATAAAAACTAAAAAACTAAATCACCTTGACAGACAAAAATAGAGAGTAAAAAGCTAAAATATATAAAATAAAAATCTAAGCAAAATTTAAAAAAAAATTCAATTTAATTAAGAACACTGAAGTGAATTTAAAAATTTAATTTTTAAAATTATTTTAGAAAACAAACGATTTTACTTAGGCTTCCACTGGACTATGGTAAGTCGTCCATACATGCATTGGAGCCTTTGAGGTCTTGACATCATTGATTTAGTTAATAATTTTTACAAACTGTATTTATTTTGAAGAAATTAAAGAAATTGTTGATATTGGTTATGCAGGGGGGAGTAAGAATTAGAATTTAATTTATTTTTAAAATATTTAAAACTTTTGAAAAACCCACTGAGATGAGATTTTGGTTTAAGTTTATTTATTTTTTAACACTTTTTCCTTTTTTGCAAAAACAAAAAACAACAACAACAGCAACACACAATTTGTTGAATATTGCAACAGCGTTTAGCATGGGATTTTCTTTTATTTTTGCTAATTCTTCGCGCTTAAATCACCACAAAATTTTTGTATCCGCGATTTTGTTTCACTTTTTCACACTTGGAGCACGGAAAAAACTATACATATTATTCCTTTTTGATTCCTACATTTCCTTTTTGACCCCCTACCAACAGTTCCACTCTTAATCCATCCGCACGAATATCACATAATAACGCAACGCTAAAAACGACGGTGAAGCAACAAAATATATGAGATTTTTTTTGTATAAAAAAAATTTCCTTACATTTACGGAGATTTTGCAAAATACACTGTAACTTTTATTTAACACTATTCATATATGCTTTAATTAGCTCAATACATTTAATTGCAAATTTTGTTATTACTCTTAATTATTTTATACAAATTTTACCGTTTAAATTAAGATTTTTTTCCCGAACTTTTTACGGACTAAAGCAGTATTATGAGAAAAACAGTTCTCTTTTGTATGCTTTACGCTGCGCATTCTCTGGTCATAGAAATTTTGGCAATATTTGTTCGTTGACATTTCGCATACTTTACCAAGGCAAGGTTGCATTTGTAGTTCAAATGAAATTAACCGCTGTAAATAGAATTTTTAAAATTCTTATATTAGACTTGATCGCATATATATAAAAATAAAGTCATATTAAGGTCGTGTGTGAGTTCGAGTAAGTTGAGGTAAAATAAATCGAAATTTTCTATGGATTTTTTGCACTGCCCTTATGTAAATATTTATTTATTTATTTATTGCACTTATTTATTATTTTTGGTTAAAAGTTTTCAAATTTATTTAGTTATTTATTAAACCTTTTATAAAATTTTCACAAAAGTAACACCTAATTTACCTAATTTTTATCTAATATACCCTACTCGAAATTCTGGTAAATACCAACATTCGCTGTCATACCGACATAATTTACTATTTCCCTCAATTTACCATAAATTTACACGAACTTGCACATTATTCAGAAATTTATTCAGAAAAATTAAATGATATTAAGCAAAAATCTAGGAAAACATGAATTTTAATTCTTATTATGTGGTTTGATTGAATAAAAAACTAATAGTTCCTGTTTTTGTATGTTTCAAGTATATTTAAAAATGAAAATGAAATTATATTTCCTCTCAGAAAGAAGCAGTTTACACAAAAAGTATAGACAATAATTTCAGTAAAAATAAAAAAAATCATGTTTTTAGTTTTATTGACCATTTTGCATTTATGAAATTGTAAGGATTTTTAGATTTCGTATATAATATTTATAATTTTCATATTAATCATGACAATATAAATATTTTAATAATATTGCATAATATTCAAAATATTTATATTATTTATATAAATACTCTATATTTCACATTACAGTTTGCGTGAAATATTCTATTTATTATTTATAAAGGAATTGTGGCACTCACTATTCCAGGACATGCATAGAAACCTGGAACTGTCATATTGGAATCGAAAAAAAATGACGTAGTAATTTCGTTTGAAACATTATGATAAATTCGATGAATTATTTAGAAAGTATTAATCAAAACTTTATGAACTAGAACAAAAATTTTATATTTAATAAATTGAAATTTTGGACTGACCGTACTGCTGACCGTAATATCACATTTGTAGTTTTAAACAATATATAAATATATATAAATTCATTTGTAATCGTACTTAATTCTTGAAAACTAATACACCCTTTCAGAACTACTTACTATTTATAAACATTTATAAACAAATACAATAGTATTTGCAGTAATAGTATTGTAGCTTAAAGTTGCTAAACCGTACGCAAAACAACAACAGGTGTATTGTTTTGACATGAATACCGCATGAATGGTGCTTAATAATAACTTGGCATCACTGCCTAAATCAGAAAATATATGGCAAGTATAAAAATTAATGTGCAGTTGAATTTTTAAAATTTTTTTTTATATACATATACAAAAAGGCAATACGAGATCGTGAATAAAACCGTTTATATAATTTTTAAACTACTAATATCGCTAATTAATGCTAAACAAGCAGAATTTAACATTGTTTTATTTTTTTTGCAATTGTCTTATAACTTTTTGCTTTTATTTTAAAGATTTTGTTTTGTATTTATTTATGTACTGCATTTTTTAATGAACAAAGAAATTAAAAATTCCTTAGAAAATAATTAACTTTTTAACAATTACTAACCTGTCAGTCTTTTTCACAAATATTATTAAAAAAGCAATACCTCAAAGCTGCTGAAAGCGCCAATAATAGAATTTATAAGTAATGTACTAATTATTATTATAAAATTAAAAACAAATCCTAGTGAATTAGTGACATAAGATCTAAATTTAATGTATAATATATGTTGACAGAATGATATGTCTTCATTATATTTCATATCCAAGTATGTTTACAAAATATAACACTGCGGCCTTAGCTGTCAAAAATTGATTTGGTATCACTAACTTTAGTGCGGGCACATTCTTTCCGGTTGTCAAGTCGATTGCAAGCAGTAGCAATTTGAAGGTGCATCGAACAAATTTTAACAAAAAGCAGGTTTAAAATTAAAGATAAATAAAAATGGCTTTCGGTGATGTAAAAACCCCACAAGGCGTTAAGGAATTGAATAAATTCTTGGCCGACAACAGCTATATTAGCGGGTAAGTTCAGCGAGTTGAGGTTATGATAAACACGTAAGCAATATTTTCGCAATAAATTTGAATTTTCTTATAGTTACACACCCAGTAAAGCGGATTTATCTGTGTTCGATGCTTTAGGCAAGGCACCAACTGGTGATTTGGTACATGTACAACGTTGGTACCGTCACATTGCTTCATTTGAAGCTGCCGAACGTGCTGCATGGGGTGGTGCACCATTGCCACAAGTTGCTGGTGCTAAACCAACAACTCCAGCTGCTGCTGCCGATGATGACGATGATATTGATCTCTTCGGTTCTGATGAAGAAGAAGATGCAGAGGCAGCAAAAATCCGTGAAGAACGTGTTGCTGCTTATGCTGCTAAAAAATCAACAAAACCTGCACTCATTGCCAAATCATCTGTTCTGCTTGATGTAAAACCATGGGACGATGAAACCGACATGAAAGAAATGGAAAAAGTAGTTCGCACCATTGAAATGGATGGTCTTTTGTGGGGTGCCTCCAAATTGGTGCCAGTCGGTTATGGCATTAACAAATTGCAAATCATGTGCGTCATTGAGGATGAGAAAGTTTCCATCGATTTGCTAACTGAACAAATTCAGGAATTCGAAGATTTCGTACAATCTGTTGATATTGCTGCCTTCAACAAAATCTAAGTAAATTTTACTTTTTATTTTATATCACAAATTTTATTTTATTTTTGTATTAATACAATTTGATTATATTAATTTTTGTGTCCATATATTTAAAATAGTTTATGTAAAACAGTTAAATGAGTCCATTAAAGCGCTTATATCCATAAAGATTTAAGAATTTTATACCAAGAAAACTAAATTGTTTTTATGCAATTTTATCAAATGTGTTAAAATAGTTCTGAAGGTGCAGAGTTTCAGGGTGATGTAAAATTAAGTGAATCAATCCTTAAGCTATTTAAAAGTTGCGCTACTGCAAATATTGTTACGAAAAACATTTCTTAATGATTATTAATGATTTATTTATCATTAAGAAAAAATTTAAGGAAATCTTGAATGATAATTAATGATGCCAAAATACAACACTACGAACTTCAACCGGCTACCTTTGTATGTCGCATCTGCACCATCTTTGTGCGAAATCAAAGAGCTTTTTAAAAAGGGACAACCAGCTGCTGTCAAAATATTTTTCATTGCATGTCACACATTAAGACAATCAATTGGTCTCATTAAAGCTGACCGTCTTATTGCAAACGCCAATCTTTTTTTCTAGGAATATAGCGTAATCTACCTTAATGGAGATGTGATCAGCGGTACAGTTTTCCAGACCAAAGTTGTGGTCAAACCAAAACAAAAAGTTTAAAAATTAAGGTCAGGATATACACTCATACTAAACAGTTACTTGTCACGTCTAACATGTGGTCCAACTGCAGTTCTAATCTCCATCACGTCCTGTTGTTGTTGTTGTAACCCGTCGAGACCTGAAAGCAGATAACATGAAAGGACCATCACGTCATCTATCTGTTCGCTTACTCAGCGCACACAAAAACTCAAGCCTTAATTGTTGGCGGGTGTTGGGAAGTCTTAATGGCGGGTGTTGGGAAGGTTCTTCAATGCTGTGTTATTTAGCAGTTTCCTATACAATTTCTGATATCTTGCGATACGTCTACTTCTTAAAACATATTTCAAGCCTACTTTTCGTAGTAGACAGATGTAGCTCGTAAAAATCTGTAAAGCAGTTAACATAAAAGGAATTGCATGACGAATATCTGGGTTACGATGTGTGTGTGTAATGATTGTGTGAGAGAGGGATTATTAGGAAGTGCGATTGGATTGTGGCATTTAAATTGAAGTTCACCAGGAACAAGACGAAGAAACCTAGCCATTTATATGGTATGAGTCCAAGCAAAGGCACATCAAAAATAAAAACTTGTAAGTTTGTTTATTGAAACCAGTTGCTTCACTAAAGAAAGTTGAGAAGTAAATTTTTCAAAGGTATCATAATGGACCCTAAGTCTGAAAAACTTGAATTTTTTTTTTATAATTTTAAGTTCCATAGAAAATGTCTTTAATGTTTGTT